GGATCTGAACGTTTCAGGAATGTAAGTCTCCAAGTTCCTTGCCACCACCAATCACCGTTGTATTTTCGAATTACCAACTGTTTCCATAATTCATCAAATGTCGCAAAACAGTAACACACTTTACTTGTGGCGCTTATTGCCAAAAGGTCTCTGATAGATAACAGGCCGAGAATTTCTAATATCAGGTCGTCAGTTAGGCGCGCGAGAGTTCCCAAGCTTGATTCCCTACAGCTAATTTGGAAATTATTATTTATTGAATCGACGTAATAATTACCCCATGGCTTAATTCCCAAGGGATGTTGAAAAGATGATTTTATTTTTTGCTTTTTTGGCACATCCAATTCGCTGTCAGGATCAGTTAGGTTTCTCTTATTGGAGCTATTTTGATGAAAAATCATGACTTTTATAGCAACAAGCATGTCGAATATTTTCTTTTTAATTCTGATCAAATTATTCACGTGATAAAAATGTTTGCATATTGGCCGGATTTTTAGGCATAACCATTTATTAGTGGATACCATGCACGAAATAAGTCATAACTGTATATACAAAATAAATTAATACATCTGTGATCAACAATATAACTTATTATACATAAATATGATAATAGTAAGGTGACTTTAATTAATAATTAATATTAAATTTCGAGGTTTAACTTTAATCGTCATACTAGGAATGAGATAATTAATAACTTATAGGAGTCAAGAAAAACGCTTTTCTACTTCACTTTATTCCAATTTTTGGATCCTGCTTTGTAAATCACGTTGTCGTTCTTGAACTTTTTCTCAAATACTTCTTTAAAAATTACGGGGATCAACGCTGCCACTGCAATCAGTCCCATCGTTAGAACATTTTGAAATGTGAAGAATGTGAAGTTGTCGGTTTCGGATAGCATGTGAATGGTTTCTCCGGATTTCACATGGATAAATGAGAGTGGGCCTACACCTGAAGTATCATCAAAAGTGATTTAATGGTGGTTCGAATTGTGTTATAGTAATGAGACTTTCTCAAATTTTTTCAAATACCAATTAAAGTGGCCCAAAAAAATACACTAGCGTCAACGCTCAAATGAGGTGAAGCGACATTAATAAACCAATTCGGCAAGAATGGCGTTACTCTTAGGAAAATTATATATAAAAATAAGTGTTTCCTATGGTCATTCAGCTTTTTGAGAATGAATATTAATTAGTATGAATAATGAATATTATATAAAAAAAAAAAAAGCAACGCGAATAAGATCGAGGGTCACATTCATGCCTGTTCATTCCAGCTATCCATCTTTTCAGCAAGGTACTTTCTTGAAATGACCCTTCCGAAGTAGAAAGATAAGAAATTACAAATCGTAGCCCCCGTGGAAGAACACTGTCACAATGATGTTAAAAGATGATGAGGAGAATGATGGAATTTTGGTGATAAAATTCTATCAACTCACCAAGCAGACAAGAAACAAAGCTTTCCAACTTCCCCACAAAGCTCCACTCAACACGCTTAGCATCACGCTACCTGGAATGGCAAATGATTGAAGACTAAATGATGAGAGATACGATTAGTTTAATAGTAAATATTCTAGGTATACATGAAAAATACATTTAAGCTTACTAAATAAAAACGGTCACAAAACATATGACAACATGAAAGCCTCCACCGCCGTGGCCTGCCAAAGCTTCATGAAGTAATTTTACATCATGTATACTTCTAGGAAATTTCAGGTGCCTTAATACAAGAGAAAATACATGAGTCGAAAAGATTCTGATGATGTAAGCACATGCATTTGGTTTTGTATATCACGATACCTTGATTTGGGTAGGTAATTATCGAGTATCATTATTACAATTCCCGTGGATATCATAAATATAAAGGCAAGCTTGATTAAAGATGACGTAATCGAGTTGTGTGAAGTCATTTTTTGTTCCAGATTGAAAGTTGGACGAAGGGGAATATTTAAGTAAAGCAAAAAAAAAAAATAAATAAAATAATTCTCGAAAAAAAAATCTCATATTATCTAGCGTTGGTATTAATAGGGATATCAGATACTAACACTCTATTGTGTTAGCGTTATCGGTTATACATATTATACTTTTCATTGCAATTGCAGGCTCGAGCATATATAGTCAACACCGTTAAATAAGTAAAAAAAAGGTAACGATCGTGGCGTAATTCATTGTATTAATTATCGGTTACTGAAATAGACAAATTGTAATAAATATTTAACTGACCGTTACCCACTTGGAATTAAGTTTCCTATTATCCGGACGGTTATCGATTCTTTATTTGACCTGATGGAATGTGTAAGATGTAATATGGCGTCCGCTAATTTTTCTTGTGGCATCTAACCACTGATTCATTTAAAAAAAAAATATGATTAGAAAATTCATTCGTTTATTTATTATTTAACTGTACTGTATATAATTTATTTATTTTGTTCAAGATTTATTGTGATCTAAAAATGAATTGATGTATTGAAATTAAAATCAAAAAGATTTTTGAGTTAAATCAATTGTATCAATTAAGAAGATCAATTAATATTACAAAATTAAAATTGGATTCCGCAGGTAACGATGTTAACGACTTGCAAGGTTTAGTTGAACTAAAGACAAAACAGTATGCTGTATCTCACCCCCAAAATTAAATAAAGAAAATTCGAGGTTTGAAAAGAAAAAAATGATGATTATTTAGATGGTATTGGATGTGATGAAATTATTTATATAAATGAAGAAATGTTGTCTTAAAGAATTCATATTTTTTTATGGTACATTTGTGATGATGCGAAGAAGAGATGTGAATATTATATTTGCAATGATAGTGAATATGGCGTATACGCAATGTCTGTGATTCTATCCTACCCATCGTTATTTTGTGAATTATCACCTATTTCACTCTCTTCCGGTAGGTTTAAATCTATAATTCTCTTTACGGTGCTCAAAGTGACCGTTAAATTTCTAATGTCCTCGTTGTCTAATATGGTTTTTAACTTTGCGATCAATTCATTGTCTACTGATATCAGGTCAGATCTCACACCCGTGGGAGTGTGCGTTCGATGTTGATTCAATTTATTATATATATTTCGCATGTCGCTCAAATTTGCCCATAACCTATTGGTTGCAACCAATAATGCGTGACTCCACTTTTGAATTTCATTTGTTGCTTCTCGGTGGCCTATGGTCTGATAAGGCTCCTCTCCACTGGGCACAATTATTGGAGGTGGCTCAAAGTTTCCGGAATTTCTTGTGCTGTCATCATGTGTCCAAGAATCTAATTCCAAAAAAGTTGGAACGTGGGAATCCATATGATCAAAATCTTCATACTCGCTATCAGAATCACTTTCTTCGTCCATTTCATTATTGGGTTCAACATAGAACACTTTCCTTTCTTTTTGAGATTTTAACTGTTCGAGTGCAACTTTTCGTAAAGGCAACTGAATAAATGGAATTGCTCGATGTTCTTGTTCAACAAATGACCGGTAATCGGGTTTGCGATCTGGTGGTTGATCTCGCAACCAATTTACTGCATGGATTGCTGCCAGAATGTGAGCACAAGCACCACCTCTAACTAAATAATGAACACAATGACAATTGATGGTTGGTAATAGACCGACCACGTAAGAATCCATGCCCTCGTTGCTCTCATCTGATTTCACGGTGACATAGAGAGATTGACCATTGTACTCAACGAATGTGATTTTCTCAGTACTTATAAAATATCTTGCAATTTCCTGTATCCTCGGATCATTTTCTTCAAATGCAATTGTGTTGATATATCGTGTCAGCAATGCTCGCAATTGTCCTTCCCCCAGTTTCTTACTGTTGACTACTGCATTTAGTGCAGACTGTTCATTCGCCATAAACATCTCAATCTCACTCCATAGACGACGTTGTGTATTGCACACAGGAGTAATGAACTTTATGAGCAAGAAACTTAATACATCCAATCGTAAGAGGTGTCCCTTCTTCTGAAATCTTAACATACGGGATGGGCTGAATTGAGCCTTGAATCCTTCCAAATGCTCCACTGACCAGGGTATTGAATTCACGTCAACTCCCATTGATTCCGCAGCCTTACTTCTGCCGTAAGAAGTCCACATTTCCATGTTCTCACTGATTCGACAATTCCGAAGGAATCGAATCATCTCACGCTGTCCATCATACAACGCTAGAATCTTCGAATCAAATTTTTGATCGTATGCTTGTGAAAAATGTTCCTATGGAATTATTATCATCAATCTTTGAATGAAAAGTAAACGACCGACGGATAACAAATTAATTATTTATGCATAATTACAGATGCCAAAGTTTCCATGACACCAAGTTTTTCATTAATCTCATTTGCTGTAGATGCCTGTTGCAACCTATCTCAATAAATTCATGGGTTAATTGTGACGTTGTGTAATCAATCATTTATGCTACAACATACGCACTCATTAAATAGGACATTCAACTCTTTGATTAAGTCTTGGCGGATTTTCACTACCTTTTCATCGCCACCGGTTCCCAACAATTGAGAGGCCTTCGTTCTCCAACATGAATGCACTTGAGAAGATGAAAAGAGTATTTGGATCCTATTCCAAACTTCGCTCACGGCAATTCGTTCACGGGCATCTAAATCTACGATTGCGACCTAATTATGACGAAAGAAATTTATGTGCCTGTTGTTGATATGTATGATTGCAAATACGTGGGATAAAACACTCCGATGTATAATACGCTTACCTTGGGAGTGAATATCACATGGGGATTTTCGGAATCATCACTTAGCTTTGTCTTATACTCTTCCAAGAGTTTCTTCAGTATTGAGTACTCGTGATTACTGGTTCCAATCATTTCTGGATCACCCGGTCTCGAGAACAAAAGATAACCAACGGGAATTCCCTTTTTAAATTCATCAACAACCATTATAATGTAAAGCCGAATCTTTTTGTTACCGGTTGGAAATGTTCCATTTAATATAATATATTTCTGATGTCCGTATTGTCTCGCCAGTGATCTTTGTTCCTTAGTTGCCAACACTAAACAAGTATGATTATAACGATGTTCTCGCGGTTTGAAGTAAAGCACGGCATCACGTAATTCCGGATCCAAGCCGCCCTCACCAAAAAACTGTTCTAGATTGTGATCTATGGATCTATTAACGTTCACGTTCCACGGATTCCGAGTTTTTACCCATAGCCTTGCGTCTTTAACATCAAAAGAGGTAATCAAAAAATGGGTGCTTTCCAAGTTAATCCTGCCTTTAAGATGATTCTTGATTAACTGTTTATTGATAAACAAGATATCCTTTGTGGATGTATTTGCTCTGACCAATAGTTCGGTAATATATCTGACATCATCGTGAACTTTCAATTCCGGATTACTCTTTAACGGATATGCCCGGTGACAAGCCTCTGAATGTTTCATATATCCATATACTCGTTTGAACTTCCCACTTGAATATTTTTCTACCCTAACAAAAGCCAAGCATCCGTTAAATTCATAAGCCTGTCGAAG